CAGCTGAAGCCCTGTAGCCCTCCTGTGGGCTTTGCATGACTCTTCCTCTTAGAGGATGATGATGTAGAATGGGGCAGCTTCGACATGATGGATGGATGGAAGAATATGACAGTATAAAACAACTGCTAGAAGGAATTTGAGAAGGGTCACACTGGTTCAGGCTGAAAGTCTAAGCCCTTCACAGATGTCTAGAGAAAAGACCGCAAGCAAAGAGCAAACATGGAGTGATAAATGTCCTGTTAAATATGCCACACTTCCAGGCATCTGTTACTCAGACCAGCCGGAAGAGTAGACCACACTGAAGAGAATTCTAGAGATTTTCCTTCCAGAAAACATGTTTGGTCATCTTTTGAACCTATCTAAGCCTTGCTGTCTTCAACGTCCTGCAGTGATGACTTCCACCAACTAGTCATCATTGTGCGAAAGAGCATTTGTCCTAAGTCCTTTACTGTGAGAAGCAGTGACTACTTCTTATCCACCTTGCTCACACTTTTCATGATTCACTGGCAGGAAATTTCATGTCACTGTTGGTTGACTCTGCCACACTGGAGTCAACAGTTGCCAGTGCAGATGAAAGGAAATTTGTGGGAGGAAAGGGGATTTGGCTGTCAGCTGAAACCTCAGGCTAGAATAACATATTTCCCTCTCTTTAATCCCCTGGGACTTCTTTCCACCAGTTTTTGTTAACTGTTTTTGTTAACATAGCTGTTCCGCTACTAATGGCTCATTGAAACTTCTCCCCTCCTAGACTCAGTAGGCATCACCAGGAGACACAGTGGGATATATCTGCACAGACACTGAAGACTGACTCTAGAGGTAGAAGTAGAAACAACTGAAAAATTCTTGAAATGAAGGAACTGGCAAACACTAAACCAAATATATTTTTAAAATTAATTTATTTATTTTCATGAAAGTAAAACAGCTTCTGAAGAGGATGAGGCACACAGGTCGAGTAAGGTGGTTTGTTTGCAGTGATTGCAAGAGGGGTCACTGTGAAGCAACTATAAACCCTATGAAGAGTGTTTTTTTAAAAAAATTTCTTGCAGAATTTGAAGGGAGAGGAAATTCAGAGTCATTTAGAAGGCAGTGAAGAATGAAGTCAAACACATACTTGTGGAGAGAGAGGACTTCTCCCTCCAAATGCCACCTTTTTGCAGGGAGCGAAAGTGGAGCAGATAGGAAGAACATGGAGGAAGAGCACCAAGGCAAACCCTGGGGAGATTTCTGCACAGTGCAAGGTGTTTTCGAGGAGCACTGTGGGAGATGGACCACACAATAAAGCAAGCACAGGTTGATGGTCTTCTTTGGAAAGAGCTCGACCTCTGCAAGCAGCAAAACCATCCCGGACAAGTCAAAGAGGTTGTCCTGAATTATGAACATGGTGGAACACCATGAACATATTGAGCATATTGGAGCTGGGCTCAAGGGATGGACAGACCTTGGTAGTGTGGCCTGCAAAGAGGGACAGCACATACCACACAGGGGAAGATGACCGCAACTCTGAGGACATGTAATTAAGTTCAATTGATTTATGTAATGGATTATTGATCCTAGCTGAAAGCATGTCAAATGGTGCCCTCACCAAGAGCTTGTGGCAGGAGGGCAGCACAGCAAAGCAGATAAATTTGAAGATGTCTTTAATGGCACTGGCCCACAGAGGATAAAATGAGGTTGGCACTACATCAGTTGTTCCTAAAACTTAAAAGGAGCAAATGCTGAATCCTCTATGTGAAGGACATGTAAGCATGGAAAAGATGATGAAGATGGGAGAGAAGTACATTAAACTAGCCTCAAAGTAAACATACAAAAATAAAGATGAAATACCTTAAAAAGATTGACTCAGAGAGTAATACAGTGAGGAGAAGCCTATAGCAAGCAGATCCTCAGCTGCTGCCAACCACAAATTCCCACTGAGTTTATATAGGATATTTCTGAGACTTTTACAATAGTACAAGAAGGGGGTCACAGTTGCAGTGCCCTGTGCTTTTGTCCCCAAGCTGGCGCAGGCAAGTGGCTCCTCATGGCAGTGTTGTATTTTTTAAGTTTGCTTTTCCTTTTGCCCATAGGAACTCTTTGCTGTTAAGGCCAGCAAAAGTAGAAGGGCTGGAGGCAACAGTTGAAAATGACACAAGAAATATGGTACCGTAGAGACTCGTTCACCTTTACCCTATTCGTATATGCTTCACTTTCCCCATTCTGCCCCATGATGCAGGTGGCAGTGACAGCAGCAGAGGAGAAGGTCTTGGAGGTAGCCTGGAAGGTGGAGGGGAAATGCAAAAATTGCAACAAGCTGCCTGATTTTTTTTTCTTTTTTTTTTTTTAAGTATTCACACATGCACACATGCACACACACCACAGTATTTCACAGTGTCAGTATTACCAAGTGACTTTTCCCCTTGTTACTTGTTCTCCCCGCGAAGCTGAATTTTGCTGGTAGACTCCTCTTTCATAGTGGTACCTCTGATACTCACGAAATCAAAACACTCAAGTGAAACCTAGTTCCTCTTGTTCCCAGGAGAACTGGAGGGATGCAGCAAATGGAAGTGCTTTATGGATCCTGCCTCCTTCAAGTCCAGTTCTCTGTTAGTCCCTACCCGGTCAAACACAGAGAGATGTCACAGTGATGCCTGGTGTGAACAGATTGGAATGTGCTACTTATAGTACTGACACCAGGGAATTTTTGGTCAGAGGAAGAAATGAGGAGGTGCTTTTTCTGTCCTGCGGACAGCTGAGCTCGGTAGGGTCCCGTCCTTCACAGTGGGTCGGGTCTGGTAGGTAGATGTGTCTAATGCTAGTGAGGAGGTTCAGTGCATCGAGACAAAATGTCTCCAAATGAAGAAGACCTGAAAAGCCCTTCCAAGCCCTGTCTGCTGGTGATGGCTCTGAAGGGATGCTGCCTGGACCTTGCTCCTGCTTGGTGCATGCGGAGAACAGTCAAGAACCATCCGGGACAGATCCTCCAAGGGCATCACAGGCTCCTTCCACACGGCTGCCCCGTGGGATTTTTGCCAGTGGTTGTGGTGAGAAAACTTGGCACCGCACGGCACTTTCCTCACCCTGGACTGTCACCCAAGACCTTTGGATATGCCTTGAGGAGAGAAAATGCCATCTAGCTCTAGAGATTTCTGATGAACGGTGATTTCTAATGACAGAAGACTGTCATTGAAGGCTCCTTCTGCTGAAGCTGTAGCAGCTCTCAATGAACACGTGTCCAACCACCCCCTGCTGCCAAAAATGAGTGGAGGCCCCTGCGGATGGGATGGTAAGAGCACACAAGAGCTTGGGAATGCAAGACGTGTGGCAGCAGGCATCTCTGAAAGGATATGAGGTGGTGCTGAGCTGGGAGAGCAAGTCCAGTTGTTTTCATTTGCGTTCCCTCTCTACTTCATTGGTAGATCCATACCAAAGACCTGTTCAGTACCTATTTACCCCACTTATTTCTAAATCCACTGACTGACTGTTCAGCTCCAATCACTGCATTTTGCCTACAGAGCCCTGGGCTACTTGGCCAGAGTTTCTGCCTTCGCTGTCCCAGACTCTCCTAGAGGTTTCCGACTGAGCCTAAGACTGCCTTGAGAGTCTCCAGTGCATCCCCTCGAGAGAAGAGACCTAAGGGCACAGAGCACATTGGCATGGAGCTTGGTTCCTGCAGCGAACCATGCACGATCCGGCCGGTAACACGGTGCGGACTCGGAGAAACCAACCACCCGCTGCAAGCTCCTCTTAGAGGACCTGCCTTTCTGCAGCACGTGCACCAATCCTGACGTAATTCCCTCCCTGCAACCCATCCGCCCTTGCTTTTCCCTCCCCCCTGAAAAAAAAAAACCCAACCTGCCCAAAACCCAAAACAACAACATCAAAACACCCTTCTGTGCTGCCGCTCACCCCCTGCATCAGCAGCCCTGGGTGAAGCAGGTGGGCATTTAATCTTGGCAAACAACCGGAAGCCCAACAGTCAGAAACAGCTGTCAGGCCATGGCAAATTGAAAAACAACCAAGAAGCAAACAGGAGGAAATGTGCATATAAAAAAAAAAACTCTCCTGGCATATTGTCAATAAGCTGTGATAGCTCCTTCCACAAGGAAAGGATTTAAGTTCTTGAATGATATGACGGTTGGAAATGTCTTTTTTTTTTTTCCTTTTTTTTTCCATAAAAAAAAAGCAAACCCAATCAACGAAAAAATTCCAACCCCCAAACTCACAAGTCGGTGTTAACAAAAAAACAAGGTCAAGGGACAAATCTCCCAACAACAACAACTGAAAAATAAAGGTACACGTTCAGCATTTGTAATCAAAAAACTACTACATACTGTACTTGGGAAGTCTTCTGAGGAAAGATCATTGGCATCTAGTGAGGACATCACTAAAAGTCTTGTGCATATGATATGTATGAGACAATGATGCCACCGGAGGGTGGATGGACGGACCCTTAGGAAACTGTCACTCACAAAACTGTCCCATGACAAGAGAAAATAAGAGATGTAAAAAGGATTGGTTTTCCCCCATCCCCACCCCCCCGAGTGTTACAGATTCCTTCTTATTTGTCGGAAACAGCCTCTTCTAGTCTCAGTTTGTTGTTTTTTTTTTCTTAAAAAAAAAAAAAAAAGAAATCTTCAACTTTTGAAGTCCATCAATTGAGATGCACTTGGTTCCACAGCACCAAAGAGCCTCAGCTCTCTCCCCCCTGTGAACTCTTAGCAGGGGCTCTGGGGACAGATGGCTGGAGGGGGACATCCTCAGAGCCACCATCCCACACAAGAAAGAGAAGTGCTTCCCACGGCTTTGCGTTCATCTTCTTGATAAAGAAGTCTCATTGCTCCGGAGGTGGCTGGGCCCGGCGGCAGCAGCCTTGTGCAAGAGGAAAGAGGTGAAGCTGCTCTTTTTTTCTCTTCCTTTGGAGACTCCCACTGATTTTGGAGCCCTTTTCAAGAATGCAATTGTTTTATTATTATTTAAAAATATTTCATAGCTTTTTTTTTTCCCAAAATAGCTGTCTTTTGTTCCCTTTTTCCATTGCTTAAATGCTAGAAGCTCTTGGCGGCTTCTCGTTATTGAAGACAGGACATTTCTTCCTGTTGCCATGATCCTCAGAGCAGCTGCCCGTCTCTGGTCCATGCAGAATACTCAAGAACTGGAGCTCGGACATACATGGGGAAAGGGGAGCAGGACCTTGAGGAAGGAGATGCGTAGCTATCAAACCTCCACAGACTGGATTTGGTTCATCTGTGCTCTCATCACCTGGATACTGTTCAGGATTTTCTTCTGGTGTCCTGCTAAAGTGACCCCAACTCGCAGAATGTCCCTTTGGGAGGAGAAAAAGAAAAAACAGAAACACAAAAAGTAAATAAATATCCGAAGAAATTTTGCAATGTCAGGTCTAGCCCATGTCTGGAGCCTAGTCCTTCCACTCTTGGAGACATGTGAGAAGGATATGCTACACCTTCATCTGTGTGAATGCCATTCCCTGTCCTTCTTAAGCTCTTTGCCCCACAGATTCTCTGAGGTCTTTCTTTAGGAAAAAAATTGCTCGAAATGGGCTTGTTTCTCTCAGCAATATGTCGCCCATCCAAGAGGACTGCTGAGTCCAAAAGTGTCCTCCAGTTTCTGAAAAAAGGCCTGATGCTGCCTGAAATCCCCATCACTCTGCATTGTTCCATGGAGCGGTTTGGAGACCCTAGTGAGGACATTCCTTTTCACAGTGGGGACATGCAGTTTGCTGAACATAGCCTGAGAATGAGAGGGAGTCAGCAGGATGGAGAGATCCTGCACAAAGTGAATAGACCCAAAGAAGTCCCACCAGATAGCAATTCTAACATACTGTAAGAGGAAAACTGCATCATCTAAAAACTAGTCAGTTTAATAATGGTCAATTGTTAAACTACTGAGGGTGTTTTCTACTGCTTTGGGACTAGAAGCCTAGGCACTTACTCTACAGTCATCTGAGAGACCACGTCAAAGGTGGTGAAGCCAGCACTGGCAAAGCTCTCCTTGTACTGGCTCATTTTGATGGCATCCAGCCATTCATCCACAGTGTTGAAGCTGGTATAATCTGGGATTGTGCGGTCAAGTAGAGGGAGGTTGATCCTGAAACACAAAAACGGAGGATGAGCAGCAGGAGTTGCAGCAAGCGCAAATATTTCTGGGCCCTCCATCAGCTGGGAGGACCTGGAAGAGCAGGAGTTATGACCAGTTCACCCAGGAGCGTGGTGCTTTGGGTCATCAAAGCAACCATACGCAGCCAGCATTCATGTGTATGAAACCATACTGCTCCTCTAACAGTGCAGAGGACACCATCCAGCTCAAGGAGCTTTCTGTGTTCTTCCAAACTTAGGCTGGTCAAGGAGAGGAACCAGAATAACTGCTTTTTTTTTACTGTCCCTCAAAAAAAGGAGCAAACAACACAGACCAAGCAGCCTCTGCAATAGCTAGCCCAGAGAAATGCAAGGATGACGTTCACGAGGTCATGCTGGAGAGTAGACCTACAAGCAGAAGTCAATGGACAAGAGAAAGATAGAGGTGCATACCCAGAGGAGAGAGGAGCCATGGCTTTCAGGCTATTGGGGTTTCGGATCATTTTATCTAAGGTGTTGACAATTTGCCCAAATTTGGGTCGATGGTTTCGGTCCTTCTGCCAACAGTCAAGCATTAGTTGGTGCAAGGCATTTGGACAATCCATAGGTGGTGGCAGCCGATAATCTTGCTCAATAGCATTTATCACCTGCGAGAGAAGGAAAAGAGATGAGTGCAATGGGAATAGACCCTTCATCCTGGTAAGGGGTAGGTGGCCAAAGAGGAACCCATTTAAACCATAATGTTCTTTTCAGCTCCTGAAGATGACTGGCCTGGCCAACCATAGTCCAACAAGGCTACTCTCTCTCAGAGATGTCGCCCATCTCAGCCATCTACTCCTGTAGCAATGTCCTGCCCTCCTGTCTCTACATCCCACCCTCTGCCTTCTGTGCTGTCCTCTGAAGTGACAGCAGTCTTGATCAGCCAACAGCGAGAACTTGTGATGAGACACGTCTATCCATCTCCTCATCTGGAGAAAGAGCATTCTTTCTGTTACCTGAGCATTCTCATGTCATGGGCTGTGCTGAGGCTTCTCCGTAACCCTGTGTATGTGCAAATCAGAGCAGGGCAGCACAGAGACTTGGTGAGCAGTTGCATACAGAAGAACTTCATGCAGGGAAGTGTTGGAGAACCTAAGCTCCACTAAAAGCTCCACCTAAGCCAAGCCAAGTTTCATAGGGCAGTCCAAGAAGGCTTGGGCTGCTACCTTGGTTTCTCCCTGCTCCACTACAAGAGTTGGGATCATATTCGGCCTTGACATGGAAAAGGGTCTTCTTCAAGACCTTCTCCAATCTCTCTGTTACCCAGCTCTGCACTTGCAGTCTATCCCACTTTCCTGGGTCATCAAGGAGGATGGAGTTGAGGGTTTCTCCCCAGGACATGTGTTCTTTCAAGAAGAGACCAGCAGGAGCCTTGGACACTAGAAACAGGCGTGTGTGTGACACCGAACGCAAGTGACTGAACTCAGGGAGGGCCGGCAGAGAGGTGACACCAGAGGTGTGGTGGGAGCAGAAAGCTGCTACTCCCAAGGGAAGGCAGGATCCCAGACAAGCCACCTGGGGTGGGGGTGAGGTGAGGTATCTGGCAGGATTTAGGAGTGATGGTGACCCCAGGGAGGTGAGAGGAGGAGGATGCCCCAGATACTGATGTGCTCGAGCAAGCTGTGGACGCAACACGAGGGCTTGCACCTCCGCTGCCAAAACAGGCCAGGTGGAAGGAGCCCTCCCAGCCACCCCTTCCTCCGCGAGGTAGCCCTGGCTGAGGGGAAGGTGTCCACACTGGGAATCATCAGTGGGCTTGGTGTGGCTCTTGGGTCCTGTTCAGGGAACATTCCTGGGCCATGCAAACTGCCCCCTCTCCCAGCTCTCTGGATGGCAGATCTATCCGAGACAGAAAGGAGGGGACACGCAGCGGGAGCGGGCTTGGAGACAAGTGGGATTGGAGACCAAGCTCTCGGCTCCGGCGTTGACCCAAGCGCTCCCCGACCCGCCGCCCGCCAGCAGGCAGGTCCCACGCGGGCACACGCGCCACATCCCCCGGGCGCTCACACCCGGGGGTCAGGAGGCTAATCCGCAGCCAGCATCCACCACATGCTAATTTGCGGCAAGGACCGGTGGCAATTAAGCGGTGACAGCTTCTGGGGTGCTATGTCCTGCGGCGGGAGAAGGGGCTGGAGCCGGCAGTGGGAGCAGATGCTGCAGCGCTCGCAATACAGGCGCAGGCTGCGCCGGCCCCGCTGGCTGCAGGCAGTCCCCATGCTGCTGCAGAAGCCACCAAGGGACGAGGTTCAGAGGAGGCTGGAGGGACAAGGGATGAGGACAACACAGGGCTAAACTTATAGGACGCTGAAGCAAGGAGAAGCGCGGTGACACCTGCCCAGAAGAGACGTGTGGTGGACGTTGCCCTGAAGCTGTAACATGCAGATGTGCCAGCAGAATGGTCTGCCCAGAATGTTGGTTTTATATGTGGATGGTGCATGAGGGTCAAGAAGGACAACACATCAGAGACAGATAATATCAGGGGTGTTTGGGGAGCCTCTGCACCAAAGGGTGCTTCTGAATACACATGTGCAGACCCCAACATATTGCACGGCTGGACAGTTGCTGTGTGATCACCCAGGCTATGGAGCCAAGAAAAGTGGACAGAGAAAGGCATTTCTACGGTGAAGGTGTGGACTGCAGCCACAGGTTGCCCCTGCATGGAGGCTCAAGGATGGCCTCAGAGCAAGGAGTGCTCATGATATATCGCTATTTCACCAAAGACCTGTGGTCTCCATGAATGGAGATCCACTTGCTGCTGCAGTAGCCGGGTGCAGCTCCTGGACAGGGTAGGTGAGTTGGAAATGTTTGGCATGGGAGGCTTGGAGCAGGGCATGAGGAGAAGAAATGGTGCTGAAGAGCCCACGGTGCCTCTGCCATCCTTGCCTGATGAAGAGCAACCTGGTGAAGATGACTTTGTACTAAATTGGTGCTCTTCAATTTGTTCACAGAAGCTGCTTTAATCTGCGACCATTTTCATTAGACTTTTGGGAACACTTCTTATTCTCTAGTTTCTGTCAACTACAGCAGTTTCTCAATAACGAGCTGTGTTTCTCAGTAACTTACATCTTGGTTGGTCATATCCCAGTAGGGCCGCTCGCCGTAGGACATCACCTCCCACATAACTATCCCGTAGCTCCACACGTCACTGGCTGATGTGAATTTTCGATACTGAATTGCCTCTGGTGCCGTCCACCGGATGGGGATCTTCCCACCCTGCAGGAAGAAACAAAACAAAAGAGAGAGGATGATGAAAGAAAGATCGAGAAAAATTGGAAAAACGTGGTGTCCAGAATATCTGCACGGCATATATTGCCCCATATCATATCATATCATATCATCTGGCACCACGGTGAAGAGCTTCGTGCTGTCATCTTTGCCACTGTCCTACTGGGCACAGCTCACTTGGTCCTTCTGTGTCGCAGAGATAAAACAGAAAGGGTCTAGGAACAGCTTCATTTGTCAGTGTTACTACCTACTGCTACACTCATCCCTGGAATGTCCAAACATTCCAGGTGTATGTGGAGCCTTTTGTGGAAAAATGACTGGCTGATGCAGGAGACCAAGTGTTCTTAACAACAGGGGACGTTCACACCATCTCTGTCCGCGGACAGGTATGGTCTTTACAGAGATCCTGACAAGCAGTGGATTTAAAAACTAACAAAAAAGCTAAGTCTTAAAATGGGAATTAGAGACGGTGGGAATTTGGAGGAGCCCCATGGGAGCTCATTTCAGCGGGACGAGTGAGATCTCCCACCTCCTGTTGTACCTACTGGCAAGTAAAATAATAGGAATATGAAGCACAGCAGTGATCACCACGTGCCCCATATGTTTAGCTTAATGCACAGGAAGTTAATAGGCATAAGGATCATGAGGTGCAAATACATTTAGGAGAAATAAATTTTGCTAATGTTTCTAAAACCCGCAAAATGACTGTATTATTGCAAAAGCCAATGGTTGGTGTGCAAAGCTACACAAGTTCAGGAGAGAAGACCAGTGCACGTTTTTAAGTGCTGGGTAATCAACCATCATTGCAGTCCTCCAAAAGCCATGGCAGATCTCACCAGCAGCTTCAACAAATCTGGGAGACATAATTTCTTACAGATCATGCCACAGCTCTATCATGGTTCACTCCCCAAAATCCTCTCATAGGCATTGTTCTGGATGTTAGCAGTGATGTTGTCTATCCTTATCAAAACCCCTATCTGCACTCTTACTCTTTCTTAACTCAGCAAGCATCGAGCAGGGATTTACACTTACATCTACCATTTTGGGGGCTGAGTCCATACGAAACATGAGAAAGGATCACTGCCTCCCGATATGGCAGGACAAAACCAACCCTTGGTGCCCTGGTGACAAATCTGTTGGGCTGGCATCTTAGAGGACCCCAATGTGGACCAGGCTGGCTGGATGCAATGCATCATCCCCAGCTAAGGGCTTTATCAGGGATGTGTGTGCAAATGGAAGAATGCTCAGTCATAGGACCTTCTCTGCCAGCAGGGCAGGACCTTGCCAGAGAAAATCTTTCTTGGTTCATTTCATTGGTCTTTCCTCATCTGACACCTTTTCTCCATCCTTGGTACCTCAAAACAAGCAATCTCAACTGAGATTCTTCCACCTCTCTCGCCCCCAACGCTTTGCTTCAATGCTCATTCCTCCCCCTGGAGCAGCGGGAAGACCAGTTTTACCAGTGCACTGGTGTAGGTGGGATCAGAGGTGTCATCCTCCAGAAAACGTGAGAGGCCAAAGTCAGACACTTTGCAGACCAGGTTGCTGTTGACCAGGATGTTGCGGGCAGCCAGGTCCCGGTGCACGTAGTTCATATCGGCCAGGTACTTCATGCCAGCCGCGATGCCCCGCAACATGCCCACCAGTTGGATCACAGTGAATTGCCCATCGTTTTGCTTAAGGAAAGAGAGAAGGAGCCCATGAAAGGAACATATCCACAGCAGGAGGACAGAAAAACATCTCACACCCGTTATGGACATCGCTACTGATGGGTGCTGTCTTGCAAAGGCAACACACCTTGCACAGAAGGATCGAGAAGGCTCATCTATTCCTATTGAGCAGTTTAGCCCCCATCAACACAATGAATTATTCAAGACTTACACACATTTTAGAGTAGTTCAAGGTGAAGTTCTGCTCTGATAAAGTTAATAGCAGAAAGTCCCTTCACACGTAGGCACAGCCGAAGAGCACAGCTGAGTGTGTGCATGTGCACGCCTGCCACTGGGCTGTCCTAGTTGCAGGGGACAAGTGAAGAACAGGCCATCCCCACAGTGTTCCCTCTGCTCCAAACCCTCCTCTGGCCCAGCACATCCCTATGGCAGTGCACTCTTAGGACCTCGTACCCGTAGGAAGGAGTCCAGTGAGCCATTCTCCATGAACTCGGTGATGATCATAACCGGAGAACTCTTGGTCACCACTCCCTCCAAGTGGATGACATTGGGGTGGTCGAATTGTCCCATGATGCTGGCTTCGCTCAGGAAGTCCCGTCTCTGCTTCTCTGTGTAACCGGACTTCAGGGTCTTGATGGCCACAAAGATCTCTCTCTTGCCAGGGAGCTTGAGATGCCCACTGCACACCTCACCGAATTCCCCTGTTAAGAGGGAGAAGGAGGTCTGATGTGTTGACCACCTACCTTTGCCTTCCTCGCCGAAGCCACCTGTTTTGTGCTTCTTCCTCTGTTCTCCACCCAAAACCTCCCTCTAGGTCAAGGCATCCTCTTGGTGAGGAGCACTGGACACTGCTCTTCCTCTGCCCATGGGAGAACCCCATGTCTCCAGCCCTGGACATGCTTCAAAGTCCACATCATCCTTGCTAGTTGAGGTAGCCTAGGGCTAAGAGACCTTACTGAAACTCTTTTCTGGGTGAATTCATTCCCTCACCTCCCTATTACACAAATTTCCTCACCAAGACAAAAAGGAAAGCGTAGAGCTGAGGGCCAGACACACAGCTGCAGTTTACCTACCTGCCCCGATCACCTGCTCGATTTTGACACAAGAGATATCAATTTCTTTTGCAAATTCCCTGACTGCCTCATTTGGATCTTCGTAGGTGAAGGGGTCAATATAAATCTTCATCCCGGGTGTCACTGCATAAAGGCAAGGGAGAGAGTCAGACAGACAGATGCAAACAGAGCAGCTGAGAGTTGCATCATGAAAAAAGAGTGTCTATGTGTGTGTGTGCATGGATGTGATGGGGTTGGACTGCTGGACCTCTTCCACCATCATCTCAAACAGCATCCCATCACGTTCCTGCAATGCTAAGGGCTTAGCGCTTTGCTACCCAAACGCTGTTGCCTCTCCACGGGAATCACTGGTGGGAAACCGAGCCTTGGATCAGGCTCCTGAGAGACGATACGGCTCAAAAGCCACCCCACTGCTCCAGGCCTGTTATCACTCCATCTGCAACCTGCAGCATCTCGCCCATTGCAACGGCTCTGGAGTCGTCGCTATTAATGCCATCGCAGCCTGAAGCTGTCATGTCATGCAGCAGGCCCTAGGAGAAAGTGTGAACGTATGTTTGCACATGCAGTGAGGCCTGGAACACAACTGAGAGTTGCATTTACATATTTTTTTTTCTTTAAGAGCGTCATTTTTCCTGAGGAGTTATGGCAACAGCAGCCAGCACGCTGCTTTCCTGGCTCGGAGCTGCAATTCCACTCGCCATCCCTTGGGAAATGCTTTTGGGAGAGTAACTGCAGAAGCTCCTGGTATTCTCCAGGTACAACCATATTTTGGGCTGCAAAGGAATAGGTGTAAAAAGGGCAGAAATCACGAAGCTGCAAGTGTAACAGGGGGTAAGTAATAACTGAGATTCAAAAAGAGCAGAGTTAGAGTGACAGGTCCCTAGTGGGAGGGAATAGGGATTTCTCAAGGATATGCAGGCAGGGGTGGATGAGGAGGAGGCACAGGGGTGAGGCAGGGTCTGTCTTGGACTTGACGGAGTGAGTATTCAATCTTGAAGAGAGCCAGAAAGTCAAGGAGCTTGTAGGATGCTCCACCGAGCACACGGTGAGGCTGCAAACAGGAATTTTAGGTGGGAATAAGTGCCTGGCACCACACAGGGATGTTGGAGGAGGTAGGCTGCAAGGCAGGGATGGGATTCTGGAGCATGGGAATGCGCTCTAGTGAGGGCACAGTGTTGGCACCCAACAGCATGTGTGTCCAGAGAGCAGCAGGCCTGGATCTAGATCACAGTGGGGACACTGGAGCTGGGAGATGGAGGTGACACGAGTGGGTGATCGGGACCACACCTGCCAGCCTGAGCTGTGACGCGACGTGTTCCCATATGGAACATGTGGGTTGCGGGGGGAGGCCAGGAGTGAGGTGGCCAAGCAGAGGTGGGACTCAGCAGACACATGCGGACACGGTGGGGCGGCTGGACACAAGCCAAAGGCATATAAAACAGTTCAGACCCCTCCGACGGCTCCCCCAAAGAGCTCCCCCTTTTCTAGACCCCAGGATGGAAACCTTCTCAGGGCCAGAAGGCACCTGAGCCACCTCAGAGCTCTTTCTGTCTATGCATGCACCCGAGAGCCTGGCTTCCCGCACGGCACAAGGAATGAGTGAACAAGGACACAAACCGAAGAGAGAGCGGACCCCCAGGCCCGGCGAGGGGCCGCGGTACGTACTGTGGCCACTGGTATAGTGCTGCAGCTTGTCAGTGTACTCGGAGTCAGCACGCTCAAAGCCCCGTCTTCTGGAAAGAAAGGCAGTCCTAAGCGTTGGGCACGGGCCAGGGCTGAGAAGTGGCCTGCAGGAGCATCCCTGTCCCCCCTTAACCTCCTGCATCCTCCCCTTTTGTATCCTGGCCTCGCTCCCTCTCCCCTTGCTGCCTGCTGATGCCCAGCCTGGACAGCTGGAGCCACCGCTCGGGTTGACCTACCTGTTGCACACAATCCCGATGACGACCACGGCGATGAGGAACACCAGCCCTGCCGCCGAGGAGCCGATGATGAGCGGCAGCTTCTCCTGCACGCTGGTCTGGTACTCAGCTGGGGAGGAGGCAATTGGTTAGTGCAGCACAGGTTGGGTCAACGCTGGTGAACGCATCAAGACCAGAACATGGATGGATGCAAGTCGTGCCTTAATACCTGGCCTCAGGACCAGAAAACAGGCATGGACTGTTTTATTTAGGAAAAAAACCCCAAGCAAATAGAGGTACTAGCTCTGTATTTGTCACTGGCAGATGTGCAGGCAAGAAACACGGAATTTTGTTTCCTCTAAATCCAAATAAGTGGACAGGTCTCCAGGACAACAAAGCTTGGCAAAAGCCTACTCTGTGTAATTCCCTGCATGGAGCACCATGCCCATGCCCATCTCCAAGTCCTGCATCAGATAAATGTATGTGACTTGGCCACAACGAGGCTATGAGCAAGAGGAGCAGTGTTGCTGCCGGCGCACCTCCATCCTGCTCAAGTCTCTCTGCAGCCTTGTGTCCTTCATCACCATCATCATGCAGAGGCAGATGAAGACTCACCTTCAGTCATGGTCTGGAAGTACATCTTGCCGCTATACCGGCCGTAGCCAGCGACGGTTCGTGCCCGCACCTGGAAGACGTAGATGGTGCCAGCCTTGAGGTTTTGCACTGCCACAGTGTTGGTGGGGCTCTTCACTGTTGTTGAATTTAGTTCAGTCAGATCCTGTCAAGAAAATACAGATCTTTCATCAGAAGAAAGAGGCCAAGTACTTGGTCCTCCTCCAGAATCAGTTGTTCTACGTCTAGTTATATGTTATACGTATCACTGAGCTAGCATGTGGCTAGAAATGGCCTGAGGAAGGTGCTAGCTACAAATTTAAGTCATTTTTTCCAAACCTTGAATGCAATGGGAATGGGAACTGCTTCCATTTTCTGTATCTACTTTCCCTTAGCAGCATCTTCTTTCCTGTCCTTCCGTGCTTGATCCAACCTCAGGCCCTTTCCATCTGCTCTTCCCCACCTCCCTTCACTTGCACTGGAAGTAGAACCCAGTTCAACTTGGATTTCTGGAACCTGGGATAGACAAGTTCTGCTACTTGCAGAGGTCTTTCTTTTCTTTTCTTTTCTTTTTTTTTTTTCTGTTTGAGTTTGGAAATCCTAGTTAAAAACAACACATTTTTTATTTCCTGATAGGTTTGATTTTGAGTCCTTATCTGATTTCCCCTTACCCTGAGCCAAATCCAAGCCAAAACCCAAGGTTGCTCAACAACAAAAGGGTTTCTTGAAAAATGGACGGTCTTTGCAAAGACCAGCTGAACGCAAGGTGGTCTTGACCTCCATGGTCTTGGACATCTTTGCTTCAGCACAGGACTAGGGAGAATCAATTCAAAATGAAGAGTCATAACACGTCTTATGTAAGAGGCATATGCTACTAAACTTACATTTGAACTATTTTATACTAAAAAAATAAAATTTTCTATCAGGAAAAAAAAAATCCACTAGAAAGAATTCTAACGGCTCCAGAGATATTTTCTGAGCATTCGGAAGCACATGGGACAATTTGCAGTAAAACATTTTGGAAGAAAATCACATCTGTACAGACCGGCAATGGAGTTGAGCACACCTGGGATGTGTCACACACCCTATCCAGACTGAGATTCCAATTGCAATATTGATGAGAAACAGGGGAAGAGTGCTGTGGATACAAGGCTATGCATTTTGGGATGGTTTCCAGGGATCAAGGCAAAGGCTTTGGATTTTCAAAACTCAGCACTGCAATGGCTGGATTAATGTGAGATTCAATCCTGCCAACCAGACAGAAAAGGAAATAGTATTGCTGCATTGCTGAAAATGCAAAAATGGAGAAGCCTGCAGGGACAAGTCTGTGGAAAGCCTTGCTCGAAAGAGCAAAGCAGAAGGCAGGATGGAGAAGACAGTGGAGAAGGTGGTGGCCACCACTGTCTGAGTGACCAGGAGGTGCTGGCCAGGTCCTCTGACATTTGTTTGCTGCAGGTCTGGATACATCTAAGCTTTGGGCCAAGGATCCCCTTCCAAGAATGACATTCATCCTGGTTGCAGGAGACCAGCCACGTGGTGCTCTCCAGCACCACGGAGACATCCAGGTCACAGGACAGCAAGAGCCTCCACAACGGCACATGGTCACGGCTGCTCCGGGGACAATCCTGCAGTATGTGGCAGGGCTCGTGCTCCACTCGCAACCTTGTTCCCATGTAAGACATGGCTTGCGTGTGGCTTGGGGCACTTTTCCTGCATTCGGGAACACATCATATCCTAATCTCCAACAAGCAAAGAGATGCTCACCCTGTGGCTGGCCACCAAGCCACAAAGAGCAGCCTCTCCTTCAGACAAAATCTCTTTCTTTACAGCCTCTCCCAGAAAACAGAGGAAAGGGGGAGGAAAGACAGAGGGAGGAAGACTAAGAGAAAGTACAAGGAGGAGAACGACCTCCCTGAGATCTTCTGTCTCCACTTAGCGTGTCTCCGGGGACAGGACCCCTCTTGCTTTCCAGATCTGCCTTGTTACCTTCCCATCCATCTTGCTACGTATTCTGGGATTGTTTCCAAGGGTCAAATAAATGGCTGTGATTTATGCAATATAGGTCAGGACCTATTTAACAGCTTACAAAGAAGCTCCCCCCCTCCCTGTTCTCCCTCTGGCTCTTGGTGATGAGAAAATAGGTCACAGGCAGGCAATGGGGGGGGATTAATCATTTCTTCCGGCAACTGCTGGGAAAATATTTTCAGTTCCATTTAATCATAAAGCTTTTTAATTAGTTAGTTTGCAATTTTGAATGTATAGTTTGTAAGTGGGGAGCAGGAGGATTCTCCTTCCAGGAATCTGCCCCCCTGCCCGTCTCACGGGAGCAGTTTGCAGCCACGCAGAGCTTGGCAGGCTCTGGGAGCTCATGCCAACGTCACCATGGTCTTCAGGTCTCCCAGCAGCTTCAGCCCCTTGGCTCCCTTCCATCCTGCCACAACCCCAGCTTGCCCATCCCTCTGCCCAACAAGTCCAGCAGAGGACAAGTGAAAGAAGGTCTTTTGGGAAGACTGAGAGGTATCCAAAGAAACCAAGAGGTTTTCTCTTTCCCACATACTGGCAATATCTAAGCAGCCAAGAGGGTCATTGCACCCGTTACTGGACTCCAAAGGGTTAACAGTCACTGCCACCCATCGGGCCAACTGTAAACAGAAAGGGAATGTCCTCACAGGACGCTCTGCCCCACTCCTCCCTTTGGACCCCCTGAGGTCCTGCGGTACCTTCTCATAGTATTGCAGCTCATAATCCAGGATGACGCCGTTGGGTTGGTCGGGCTGAGACCACGAGAGGGTAATGCTGTCCACAGTGCGGCTGACCTGATGCATGATGGACACGGCAGAAGGAGCTGCGAGAGAGAGAGAGAGAGAGGGCTCAGTCAGGTGCTTGCCCAGACAGGCGCGGACA